CCAGAACAAAAACACGGTTCACTGCTCATCTGCAAGTACCTTCTCTAGCCCTCAAAGGCAGAGGTAGCTCTTAGTACATCTCTTGCATCCCCTCTGTAGCTATAGTCAACACATCCTGCTGTACCTCCACTTATCCTTGCCAATATAATTTGCTAGCCAGGAATGGATGAAGGACAGTTAGTATCATATATACTTTTGCATACCCAGGGGCTCATCAAAGTAACTGTACATAATAGACACTCAGTTAAATGCTAACCGAGTCAACTTATGTTTCTGAACACTGATGACTCTCTTAAAAATTTGAGATGAGTAGAAAGAAAATACAGAGGTCTTGATTAAATAAGAACTATGAAACCAAAGATCCAGCTTTCTTGCTTAGTTTTCCCTTCTGTTTTTGCTGTGTGGTTAGGAAGAATCTGTACTGCACTGGGGGATAGTTGAGTTCTTTCAAATTCCAAGCAGACTTAGCAAGAGCAGTGCTGGGTTGGCTCCTGCAGCCGCAAGAACAGACAGCATCATAGAAACAACTGCACGCTATCTTCTCCATTAGCTTCACTTTGAGTATTGGCCTCACTGTACCCTAACACAGAAAGGTCTTCTCTGTGAAGCAGGAAATAGAACTAGTAGTGGCCACCGGCAAGAAGAAGACAGAAAAGCTGCTTCTTCCACAGTCAACTGAGCAAACTCAATGCAGAACTCTACTGCTCCTGCTCGGAGCACACCTGAGACCCAAAACCAATGCCAGAAAGGTGAAACTCTATGATTGGCCAGCCCTGTCTTAAGCCCACTCCTACTGTGGGGAGTGAGAGGTGGGGAGGGGAGTAGGGTCTATTACCATAATAAAAGGAGTGGGAAAACTTGCTGGATAAATAAATATTCCCAGGACAATAAGCAAACAGAAACTGGAATTAATTATGGGCTTTAGTTCATAGTATATGAAGTTAATTAAGGGTAACCTAATATGCAAGATATTAAAAGAAGAATAATATGCAAGATATTAAAAGCAGACAATAAAAAAATGCTGTCAGTCTGTTATACTGATAACCATTTTCCTCTTTTTAATTCATAATATTATTATAAATAATGCAAAAAAATCATCATCTTCATAGAGTGCTGTATAAACAAAATTTATTATACTGACTACTTCATAGTTTGGCAAAATAAATACACAATAGCTTAACTACAAGTCTGATAATAAATGCCAAGAAATACGTAGAACCTGTTCTCTTGCTCTCAATTAAAAAAAAAAAAGGTACAGAAGTACCATTCTGTCATACAGTAGAATGGTGATAGAAAAACTCCTGTTCAGGACCCAAAGTACACATCATGACTCAAACCCGAGCAGTCATGAGGTTCCCTACATCATCAGAGGAATAAAGCAGAGCATGGTCAGATTTTCCCCTGATTGGAAGAGTCCCTTAAAAAAAAAAAAAAAAAAGCAGTCAATGGGAAGTGCTCTTAAAACTTCCAGCCACTCCTACAGTGGGAGGAGACAGGACCACAGCACAGGCTGACAGCTGAGGTTAACGGAAAAACAAAACTGAGACTCCCTCCAGAAATGTAAGGACAATGCCCCTCCAACATCTGCCCCACGCCCCAACCCCCAGTTAAAGAGCTGTGCGCACACATGTGAGGGGGCAGGCAGGCTGCACAGGGAGCTGGGAACACTACACCTCTTGAAACACAGTGGGCCTTGGTATGCAGCGTCTGCTCATGGGAAGGGGGAGCCAATGTAACCGTAAACACTTAGGCGTGTGAGTGGTCGGCTCAGCTGGGGTAGTGCTTCAAGTTCACACTTTCAATATTTAATGCACAACTACTATGTTGATAATGCTACAAGGCTAGGTTAAGAGTTTTTCCTAATTCTTTTCCAGAGAAACTTGTGAAGCAGTCCTTGGTTTCAAATACATAGTGATAATTCACTATGTTTCAGGTAGAATTGTAGGCACTGGGGATAGACCAGCGACCAAAACAGAGGGGGGAAACCCTCTGATCTTATAGAGCTTATATTTTATTTGGAGGTGACAGAGAGTAAACATAATAAATAAATGATGGTGAGACACGAGAGAAATGTCTCACTTTTCCCTCTCATAGTGACAGAGAAAAAAATTAAGCACTGAGGGGGGGATGTGCAGGGTTATAATATAAGAGGATCACCCCCTATGATATCCTAAGCTGTGAGTTCTTGGTAGGATACCATCCTGGACTTCGTGCTGCTGCTAATGAGCACTCCTCCCCAGAGCAGAAAAGGAAGGGCTGTGGAGGGACAGACAGAACTTGGGTAAACACAAGAACAGGATTCTGCCCTGGGCAGTAGCCTTGCCACATCTTATCCTAAGCTTATTTATGTCAGCTTAGACTACCATCCACCACCTCCCTCCATGATGTTAATAAGACCTGTCTCCTCCTAGTTCATGGAAAAATGTGTTGATAGGTAATATAGCCTATAGGCTAATCCAAATATATATATATATATATACACACACATATATATATATCTTCATTTTGAATATTAAAAAGTTCACATATAGGTCTTTATATTTCCTTCATAATCTATTGACTGAGCACCTATTTTATGCCAAGCCCTGTTTAGAAACTGGAAGTACAGCAGTGAGCAAGACACACAAAGTGTCTCTCTCAAGAAACTTACATTCTAACAGGTGAGATGAAACATTCAACAGTAGATTAAATTCGGGAGAATCTGAGAAGGAGACTAGATACCATGGAATAGTTTAGTCCAGATGTGAGGTGATCAAGTTGTGAACTCAGATAGCTCTCAAGCTGAATTGAATTCCATGTCAGGTTCCCTGTGGTCACCCTAAGTGTTTTCTGTAAAGGTGCCAAGGTAATCAATTGATATGAAAATTCTACCGTGACTACTGGGTCTTTCTATAGTGAAGAAAGGCAGTTTCCTTTCTCTTACTGACAGTCTGTTTCATGGACAAATCAACACACACTTTACTATCTCCTAAGGTACTGATTTTGTGAACTGCAAAAGTGTTATTCCACATTGCATAAATAAGCACGTGCTTTGATATCTGGAGTCTTTCACAACTTATCATAGCACTACTGTTTTGTTAAAAAAAAAAAAAGTGGTGGTAAAATTTATAACACTGGTTTAAAAAAAAAAAAAAAGCACCATAATAACAATAGTAACATGCCCTTTTCAAATTAGAAAGTGAAGCTAGAGATCTGCTAGAATTGCTGTTGGGCAAGATGTCTCAGTACGAAGGATAAAGAGTAAAAAAAAAAAATCAAAAACACATTTGGAAAAGAATCAACCCACACCTTTTATGTTCAAGAGCACAGGGTGCTAGGTAGATAGGAGAGACTGGAAAATGAAAATGCAGATAACATCGCACCCCAACAACTTGGGGAGAGATGTGAAGCAGAGAAAGCAACAAGAGTGTGTTGTGTTCAACTCTGAACCATGCAAATTCCCATCTCAGTCTTTTGTCAAACACTGCTCTCTAACCTGAGTACCTCCAGAGTATGTTTGAGTAGTGAAGTAACCCAGAAAAACACTCACTGAGTGTGTGCACATGAGCCTCAGCGGAGAAGGACAGTTAGACTTTGCAGACACAGCAAACTTTCTGTGTGCACCACAATAGGATCAGATGTAAAGTTCATTTCATATAACACAAGCTTACTGTAAACATCCCTCTGCAAGAGGTGCTGCCTTGCATGTATCTCAACTGCCAGGAGAGCCCGCAGGCCAGCTGGCAAGGTTTCCAAGTAAGTTTACAGCTTCAGCTTGCAGCAGTCAGACAATTCAAAAACCATATTATTTGGCCTGGTTTCCCATTGGGATCACTGACAATGAAGCTTACTTCCATTCCTGATGGAAGGGCTTTTATAAATTGCACTTTGAAGAGAAACCCTTTAAAGAGACACCACAACCTTCTTGCTTCCCTTCAGAAGTTTTGCATATTTGGTTGTGATGTGGTCTCCCCTCAGATGAAGCTGGTTGACTCAGATCAATGCCTTTTTTATTTGTTTTGGTTTGGGGTGGGGAGCACACACATGTTTATTACATTCATAAACAATAACTGTAACAAAACAAACTGCTGATTTGCCCATCACTACTCTTGGTAAGAACAGAATGGCTGGAGAATACACTTGGAGAAAAACTAATTTTTTTAACTGTACTAAAAATTGGATGCCAATTATCTGATGAAATGAGTGTCTGGTAGTTATGGCAGGTGACTTTGGTATCTGCTTCAACTGAGGAGTTATCACTATGGCTTCCTGCCTGGGATGACCAGCAGTTCATTATTTATGAAATCTTGTCACCAAAAAAAAAAAAAATACTCTGTATTTTTAGGTTACCTCTCCTCTGTACCCCCAAGCCAGGTAAAAGTCAATAAAGTAAAGAAATTCAGATACTGCCCCTCAGATCAACAAGAATTTCTGTATTAAAAGCAAATGTCCCATTTTACTGCACAAATGTTGCTAAGAAATTCAAATACTGCTTCTGACCCCCACTTTCTCCAAAACAGCCCTTCGTTCCAGTAACCATTTTTCTGCTAGAAAGAATCCTAAGAAAATATCAGAAGTTGAACTGGGCTAGGTAAAGGATGAGAACAGAATTTAAGCAATTAGAAAGTAGGTTGAATTTGAACTCTTGGTTAAGTTCCTTGACCGACCAAGGTGTTTGCAAGCACTTTGCAGGAAAGGCTGCCTTTGATTGGAAGTCTTTGCTCCCAAACTTTTTTCCCTGGGCAAAGAGGACCAGAACATCTCCAGGTGTAGTGAACTACTACAACCGAAATCAAAGAACATCTTCCCCTCTGCAAAGAACACAGTCTAAGAAAAAGACAGCTCTCTGTCAAAAGGAAGGTAGCAGTGACTGTAGTTAACAGGCAGTTGTGGAACTTTCAGGGTTATATTTAAAGGGCCATGCAGGAGAGGGGCAGGTTGAGCAGTGGTAATTGTGGCTGTGTAGTCAAATGCTGATGGCAGAGGGTGAAGGGACAAGAGAAATAAATAGATGTACTTACAGTCCTCGGAGGCGAAGCCAAATTTTCTCGATCTGTTCAGGTTGCAGGTATTTCAGAGAGTTGCTCTCAAATTCTTCAATCTCCTTGGTTGGGGACTCCATAGCTGCAGGTTATCACTGGGAGTGAGACTGAGAGAGTTTGGGCTGTCCCCTCCCCGCCTCCACACTCAGCAGGGCCCTGGAGCCCCAGGCAGGCTCTGCGCGTGTTTGTCACTTTCTCAGTGCGCTCCCCCTTCTGCGCCCCCACAATCCGGACTTAAAGCTGGCTCAGACGAAGGGTGACACCAGGCCCAGGTGACCCTGGGAGGCAGCTGCTGAAACCAGACATGGTCCCGGGCTAATGCCCAGGGATATGGATTGTGCTCCTGCTCAAGAAGGCACCTCAGACCTATCTGAATTCGTCTTCTTTTTTTGTTCTTCTTCCTCTTCTTTCTTTTTAAACAAAGCCACAGAAGCGATCGGTGTGACTGCTGAAGGATTTGGAGGCGAGGGGACCGAGGTGGAAGGAGAGAAAACGAAGGGGGAGAAACTGAAAAGGGGAGAGAGGTGAGCCGGGATGCGCAGAGGGGGAAGTTGGCCGGGGCGGGATGTCTGACCCTTAGGCCACGCACCTCGGCTCCGCCCCAGCCCTCTGTCCTGGGGCGCCGCGCTCCCCTCTTGCCCCCTATGTGCCCTCCTCTCTACCTCGCTGCCACTGCGCCCCCTATTTTTTTTTTTTTTTTCACTTACCAGCAGCTCTACTGACAAGCGAGAAAATTGACAACTGAGAAAAGTCGTCTGTCAGCGCGCCCGGGCTGGCGTCTGGTCTGGCACCCGCGAGCGCCCAGGGAGGGGCGCGCCGAGGGGGCACCGCCGGCTGCGGGGCGCCCGCCCGCGGGGGTCCAGCCTCTGCCCTGAGATCCGCGTGCGCCAGGGCCCCAGCCGGGTGTGTAGATGGCTTCTGAAGTCCGCACAAAATAAATAACACGGCAGCACGCGCGCAAATCAGAAGGAAGGGAGGTCTGTGTCCTCCCGGGGGACTCGCGGGGCAAACAGCAGCAGCGAGGTTCCGCTGAGTCCGAGCTGAGAGTTTTCATTTACAGCTCTCACTTACACACCCGCCAGGAGCTGGTTCCATTTTGAAATACTACTGCGACCGATGTGAGCAAACAAACCGCACATCCACATTTGGAAAGTCCTGATATATTCTTGCTAATGGAAGCGCCCCCCCCACTTCCCTCCCTCCCTCTCTAAACAAACAAACAAATAAATAGCAAATAAATAAACAAACACATAAACCTACACTGAGGAATTTCCACTGGTTTATGCCACATACTCCTCAGAGGTCCCCATTGGGTGACGGGTTGGCAGATGTTGCGGTGGGCAATAGTTTGGGCTCCACAAAGCTGCCGGTCCTATCCTCAGAGTCCCCCTGGTCCTATGCCATTCACAATGCCAATGAATGAGAATGCTCTGGAAGAGCTGGACCAGGTATGCAGCCGGTGTGGTGGAACTGGTGGTCAAACCCTCTTCTAGAGGAAGCCAACTCCACCTCCCAAGGACCATTTCAAACACAACACTTCAGCTTGCCCAACACAGTATTTTTTTTCTCACGAATAGGTAATGATTCTTTCAACCCCACTCCTTTCATTCTATCACATCCTGCTTTTCAAAAGTAAGATCCACTTAAAAGTGAAAACTATTGTAGTTGTTCATTGTGCAAGTAAAGGTCCATTCATGTGACCTCGGTAGAGAAATAAAATGACAGTGTCTGAAACCTAAATGCTCACCCAATTGGCAGTTGGCATTTACTTTTCAGAAATGAGATGAGAGTGGCATGGCTAGCCCCACACATTCCAGCAGCGAAGGTACGTGCCCACAGTGAATGGACAGAACCGATGGAAAAGGACTTGCACACTCACCTGCCGCACAATCTGAAGTCACCTCATTAAAGTCAGCCCTTCAAGGTTTTCTGGTAGCACGTATATTTTCACTGAGTCAAGACATTAACTACCAGGCAAAACAGCATTACACAGCCTACGTAGTACATGAATAAAACCAATTACCCACCTAATGCCACCTAGCAAGGAACAGTGTCTGGAGAGAATGGGATGTTAAAAAAGAGATTAACCCCAAATGGGATTTTCATCCATTTGTGTATGTTGGGAAGAATATGGAAGTGTAATGATGATAACAACAGCAAACATATCAAAAACTCTGGTCAAAGCACTAGTCTAAAGGTCTACGCTCACGTTACACTAGGGTTAGCACCCAATAAACAAATCCCAAGTCTAAAATACATTTAATATACCTGGCTTACCAAACATGAGAGCTGGCCTAGCCTATCTCAAGTGCGGTCAGGACACCTACGTTAACCCACAGTTTGGCAAAATCATCGAACACAAGATCTTTTATAATAAAGCGATGAGTACCTCAGACACAGGTGGTCTTTACTTTGCCATCATGGGATGTGAAAACACAAGATTCAAAAAATGGTGGTGGATCATGTGCCTGAATAGCACTGCAAACACCACCTCATCCCCCATCCCCTGTACCAAGTGCCCAGCATAACAGGACAGTATCATTCTGCAAGTCAATGATCCAGGAAAAACGCAAAACTCAAAAAATTCCAACTTCTACTGGATCAGTTTTGCTTTTCCTACTTCATAAAGTTGAAAAATTGTAGGACAAGTCATCATAAGTCACAGACCATCTGTGTTATTCCCATTCTACAATAAGAAAACAAAAGCACTAAGAGATTATCTAGGGCTATAAAGGGAGAACAGAAGTGGGGAGACCAGAGCTTGAGTTATGGCTCATTACCTTATCTAATACAAAGTTGTCTCCCTCACAGAGTCCCATTTTCCAAAATTATTAAATGAAGAATATAGGCAAAAATAAAAAATAAAACAAAGTATATCTCTTCCACCTTTATGATTGTATGAAGTTATCTGGAGAGACATGGGACGAAGAATTGCTGAAAAGAGAAATACATATTGCTGAATATAGACTCTGATGACCCCATGGTTTCTCTGAAGAACCGCCTGGAAGGAGAGGATAAAGGATGAAATTCATCGTCCTGCCCAACACCATATCAATGCCTTTTTCCTAGTGTTTGTAGGATTTTGATTAAGTCAGAGAAAAACGAATGGCGGAGGGAGGAAAGGAAGAGTCTTTCACTGCAATTACACAAATCTGACAGGGAAGACAAAAACGCTTTTTAAAAAGTTTCTGAAACATGACAATTTCATTTTAGAAAAACTTTTAAAACTAAACATGTATTAAAAAATTGATAAGGACAGAATGTTGCTATATTTTACAGTCATAATCACTTTTGGAGTAGGACGGAATCTTAAAGATAAGCTAGTTTAGAAGTTCCAATTTGTTAAGCATCAGAATATTTTATTTCAAATAACATCTTATAAGGGAGTCCAATGCATATGTCAGATTTTAAAAGTAAAGCTAGAGCTGCTCCAGTTAAACAGGGCCAGGGAGTAACTAGTTCATGCTCAGGGACACAGTCCATCTCTGCCTCCTCTCTATTCCACCTGTGGATGCCCAATGTTCTCAATTCATGCATGAGATAATGGGACCAAAAACCAGAAAATGTCTTTGGATTCCCTCTTCCTAATGCAGGGTTCTTTCTAACCATATTAGGAAAAGTGAGTCTTCTCTCTGCCAACAAAATCTTACTACTATTATATGCACAATGCTATTACATCACTCAGGTTTTGTTCTCCCTTTATCACAGATAAGATACACTTAATAGTAGCAGCAGCATTATAGGCCATAGCTCCTACTACATACCGCTCAGAGGCAAGCAAAATACAGAGTCAAACCCACGCAAAACAATGCTCTAAGAAAATGCAAAGTCACTCACATCTTTGCTTTGGGGGTTAATTTCCATTGTAACTTTCTAACCCAGCTTTTTGAATAGAACCTTTTAGTAAACCTTGTATGGTGAAACATCACTAAATATATATCAACATGCATAATATATAAACATATTTATATATTTACATATATATTTATATTACAGACACACATACATATAACTGCCAATTTCTATGTAATTTAAATAGTCTCCCAAGCAGACACACAGTAACTTAGCATATGTACTAGCAAATCTCTGCATTGACATTAAGGATCACAGAGAAAGTGAGCCCACTGTCCCTGGCAGAATTCAAAGAGAAGTTCGATCATTATTTGACAAGGGACTAGATCAGGTTTGTAGGCATGAGAACAAAACTTCAGTTACCTGAAATCTAAGATTTCACGATTCAATTATATTCACAATAAGTACGACCCTTTCCAGGTATTAAGAAAATACAAGTGCCAAGCACTACTCTAAGAACTTCATAGGTTATTTCCTTTCATTCTCAACAAAATACTTCAGAATATTTCTTTATTCCCATTTACAAATAAAGAAAAAGTCCCCAAAATTCAGATTACATTTACAGAGTTCAATGGCTAAGCCAAATTTTAACCCCAGCCCATAATGCAAAGCTCTTGTTCGTTCTCCTATTGTTATATTACCTCCCTGCACACACACAAAAAGACAAGTAAAAACATACAAAACAGAAAGGGTGGGGCTGCAAGGACACAGATGAAACGGTCTCTACTGCTGGGGGGGGGGGTGGGTATTAGAAGGCTACAGAGCAGAGCTGCCATTTGAACAAGATACCCAAGGGGGATAAGAGGTTGCTTACATGGAGGTGAGCAACGGCAGGAGTTTCCAGAAGGAGGGCACTGAATGAACGAGACACAGAGCATGAGATAGGATGGACTTTCCAGTGACATGCAAAACTAAGTGTATGGCTAAGAAAAGCAGGAGAAAATGCTGGAAGGGTCAGTCAGATTCTTATCATCATGGAATAAGCTTGGCCCTCTACTGCAGATGACTGGGAGCCATGGGTAGAGTGTTTGTAAGCAGAGGGAGCTGTGGTCATGGACATGTGGAGGTACATGCTGCCCTGAATGTGCAGCACACACTTAGGTCAACTCTCTGGAAACCTGATACATAAATGTACAACAACTATGAAAGGCACAAATGATCATGGGGGCTCCCTAAGAGGAATCCAGCTACCAGAGGCAAATAAGCTCCTCAGCATACAATGAAGGAAGAGTTGGATCAAGAAAAGAGACAGATTCAGAAAAGGACAGCATCATGCCCCAAGAGCACCCATCTTCCAGCTATGAGATTCTGACTGCTTGTTTTGACCTCCATAAAGCAAGCCAGTGTCCTAGATACATTTTTCATGACTTGGCAGTGGCATCATGAAGAGAGTCTGTTGAGGAGGAAATTCTGGAGAAGCATTTAGAACATCGGAAGTAGCACCACCAGCACAGCAGCCCCTCCTTCCCACCCACAACAGATGTGTGCCAGCCCCCATTACACACTGGCAGCAGAGGATCTTCCCTCCCACTGGCTTCCCTGCCCAGTAAAGAGGCCTCTTTGATGACAGTCACACTGCTTTTCCCTTTGATGTTGCCAGTTTGATTTATGATTTGAGGCAAGCTCTGTCCTGGGAAGCAGCTCCACTAGAAAAAAGAGGTGCAAGGAGAGGCAGTGAACTGGCCAGAAGACCTCCATTCTCAGCCCCATCTGAAA